GAGGAGCCCTCCACCGCACGCGGCTCTGGACAGCCTCCACCATGTCAGCTCATGTAAACTCGGGGTACTTCCAGCACCGACTGCCACTGCTCCCGCACCTGTGCCAGGCTTATGACACGGGGCCACCCGTTCCCCACAGGCCACAATTGGGGCTACTGGCTTTGCACAGCAGGGCGCCCTGGACACACGGCAGGCCCCTGGAGGAGCCACACACAGCAGAAAACGCTCCCTCCGAGACGCACCGGACAAGTTGCCGAGGCCCGCGCAGCCTGGCCCCCGGGGCCAATGGTCACTGCAGGCGGCAGAGGCCAGGACCTGCAGCGCGCTTGGCGTCACGCACCTGCCGCGTCCACATCTTCCTTCACCACGATCTCACCCGCTCCACCCGTGGGTGCGGTTCCAAGTCCTCCAAAGCCTTGCGGTTTGGGTCTCGAAAGCATGTACTGCTCGATGGTCTGTATTAGTATAGAGGATGTTGCTGCATGTCTTTGTTATCTATGTTGATAGTATGGTATGCTCGTGTCCTCTGCTAGCTCATACCTCTCCATCCGCTACCGTGAGGAGATATTGTGTCTGTAGTTATATTCTTGTTTCGGACAGGTCAAGCCCAGGAAAAAGACCCCAAAAACTTTTAAGTGTGCTCCTCCCACGGGGTTCAGCTTCTTTGCAAGAAAGAAATATTTAATTCCTATCTTCTATATATAACCGTTAAAAATTAAGATATTTTAACACCAAAAAGTAGCAAGAAAAGTTTCAACTGAACACATTCATATTTTCCTCATTTGCCATAATCGAGTGAAAAGCCTCCACCAGGTCACGCACAGTCTGAGAACCACTATTGGGAACATGTGTACTGGCAGCTCCAACAGGGGGTGCACTGAAAGTCAGCCGCTCCTGTCCTAGACGGCCATTCTGTGTCCCCATGGCCCGGGGCCCGCCAGCCTCCTGCACCCAAAGAACACAGCTGCTGGCATACTCCTGCTGGTTTCTGGGCCTGATGCGGGAAGGGGCTCGGAGCTACACCAAGTGAACCGGCCAGCTGACTGTGGCGTGCCCATGAGGTCAGAGCCCCATGCTCCTGCCCCTGGCTGGCTGAAAGCAAAGCCTTAGGGTCCCACTGCCTCCTGTTGTTTGAGATCTTGTAGCCAAGCCCTGTGGCTCTAAAACAGTAATCTTGGGAAATAAAGATTTATTGAAACAGCAGTATGGGGTGCAGGGTAAGAAAGCTAATTTTTTGCTATAATTCCTCATCGCGACAAACTTAACTTGGAAGCCAGTGCATGAGCGCCAAGAGCCCGGACCAACTCTAAC